AGAAAGCTGTCATGAGAGAAATACATGACTTGTCATTGCTGACCTCCATGTCAATATGCAGGTTGCTGATCCACTTCTTTTAGCACTTGCTAAGCCACTGATCCAGAACAGGTCCTGACTTAATTTGCTGCATACTTGTTCCATGTCGGTGACTAAGAAGTATTGACACTAGAGAGTCACACAACTAGTATTTTCAGAATTAAAGTCCAACGCCGGGGCTTAATTTTTCAAATATACTGTATGTGTATGTATATTTGTATATAAAAAAACACATTTTCTGTTAGATAGATAGATAAAAGAGAAAATGTGTTTTCCTGTACTTTCTCCCAAGGCAAAGTTTTTTTTGTAATTTGCACACCCCCATATATTTACACCCCCATATAGAGTATAGTAAAAAAAAAAAGTCTGCTAAATAACCCCTTCATGGCTGAGCTTGTTTTAGTTTCCGTTAATGACTGACACACTTTTGACCGTGAGATTCTTCCACGTCAGTAATATACTTTCTTACTTAGTGCACCCACGCATATTATATATTGTTTTTTAGAGGACAGATAGGGCTATATATTTATAACACATATGTGTGCCTAACACCACCCTTAGGACAAATAAAAAATTAAAATTGAGAGGAAAAAGTAAGGAAAACACTATTCCCCCAGTTTTGATTTGTAGGATTTTTCTAGAAAAATAGCACAGCTAAAAAATGCATTAAATACATTAATGTATTTGTCCTTTATTTGGAAAAACCTCACATCCCTAGGATTTAAGAAATGTTTCTGTACTTCTCGGCCTAAAACCTAACATTTAATCTTTTTTTTTCTGTAAAAGCTATTACTAAAAGTTGTCACCTGGCATACAATGTCACTGTCACACTTAGTGACGGCGATATACTTTGAACATTACTGTCATGAGGGGGTTAAATTAAACAAATGAATCCCTTAGGGTGAAAAACAAATCTGCAGCTCAGCTGCAAATTTTCATTGTAAGGGGTTAACTTTTATATTAATGATAATATAAAAATATATTTAAATATCATAATTTTTTTTTTAAATGTATACACTTTTTTGTTCACTTTTTTTTAACATTTTTTATTTTATGTAATTTTGTCAAGCAGTCATTGTGAATGAATATCACTATTACTGCTTGATAATTGAATTAAGTTTGAAGCAGCCTAATAATAACCACAAATTAATTAAGAACAGCCAATAATAACCTTTGTGAAACTGATCCTGCAGCATTTCAGGATGAGATGTCATTAAAGACTTCTGATCATTCCCAGAAGCGTGCAACATTGTTTTCAGCAAAAAAACATATAGCTAAATGTTTCTATTGCTGAAACTTTAGGGGAACAAAAGCCAGTATAAATCAGGATTTCCTAGAGTGACTGCAAAGCTGTAAATGCAGCTCTGCTCTCACTGTCAGACACCCGATTCATGAAAGGGATCGGGTGTCTGAAAAAGCTAAACTCTCATTATTGGATGCCATAATACTGAGGCATCCATTAATGAACGGTAACCGCTGATTCTCAGCGGTTGCCAGCATTACAGAGCCCCGAATAGCTGATCACGTACAGCGTACGTGATCAGTCATTTGGGCACTTAGTGGCGGGGACGTACAGTGTACATCTCCCGTCACTAAGGGGTTAAAATTATATCGCGTTAGTGTGACTATTATGCAGTGTAGGAAAATGGTAAAGCTTAGTCTGAGCTTATGCATTTTATTTTGGGAGAGCTTTCTTCTCCTTTTAAAGCTACATTGCAGTGCACACTGGGGGAAAAACGTTTTTCTGTAAATTGTTAACATAACATTAGGACTAGATTAAGTCGAGCTGAAGAGGACTCAAACAGCAACCTTTTTCAGGTTTGTGATCGCCAAGAATTCTGACATGAGCTTTGTGTGAGCATTTTTGATACTTGCACAGTGAATGCAACATAGACTGTGTGTGTGTGTGTGTGTGTGTGTGTGTGTGTGTGTGTGTGTGTGTGTATATATCTGTTAGGTGGGTATAAAAAAATGCTGTAAAGTAAAAATCGGCAGGTAGGTTGTGCCAAACATCTTGGGGAACTAACCACAGATCTTCTGTGAATGTCGGCTGCCTCAAATCCTTCTCTCTTCATGTGATCCCAGACAGACCCGATGTTGAGATCAGGGATCTGTGGGGGCCCAACCATCACTTTCAGGACTCCAAGTTCTTCTTTACACTGAAGATAGTTCTTAATGACATTGGCTGTATGTTTGGGGCCATTGTTCCTGCTGCAGAATAAAGTTGGGGCCAGTCACATGCCTCCCTGATGGTATGGCATGCTGGATAAGTATCTGCTTGTATTTCTCAGCATTGAGGACACCGTTGATCCTGACCAAATCTCTAACTTCATTGGCAGACATGCAGCCCCAGACTTGCAAGGAACCTCCACCGTGCTTCACTGTTACTGCAGACACTCCTTGTTGTACTGCTCTCCAGCCCTTCCGTGAACAAACTGCCTCCTGCTACAGCTAAATTTTGACTCATCAGTCCAGAGCACCTGCTGCAATTTTTATGTGGCCTTGTGCCCAAAAAGCCATACCTCCAACGTGGAAACAAGGCTAAGCGATTTAACTATGCACAAAAACATAGGAACTGGGGTGCATGTGTATGTGCAGCCGTAGATCACATTTTATTACGATTTATTGCTGGCTGGGAGTGGCTGGACAGAGCTTGTAATGGCACTCACTGAGCTACCGTACTGACAGGGAGTGCATTGTAGCCGCTTTTCGAGTGCCATTTCAAAATAATACTGGGGACTCTAGTGGATAAAAATAAAAAAACAGCATCCCTTGCTGCAATACTCACTTCTTCACCGGTGCCATCCCCACAGTCATTTCTCACATTTCCTCAGTCTTGTGATTTGAATGACGCTTTGTATCAAAAAAAGCATGAAATACGTGGGGTGATGGGGTGTTAACCTGGAGTTTGGATTTAAAGGAGAACTATGGGGGTTAGGGCTTTTCCCCATAGTTCTCCAAAGGGTAACGGGAGGACACAAACTAGTGTCCTCCCGTCACCCTTAGCTCAGTGTTATCCAGGTGAAATGGATATGTAAATATATTTCAATGACTACAATAATATTCACACCCGTAGATCTGACGATCCTTAGACAAAAGAAGTAGTTCCATCAGCAATATACATTTATTGGTAGGGTTACAGATTTACAAATAACACACAAAACACAGTTTTACCTCTCGGCTTCTCGCCTGCTCATACTGAATGCTTTTGTGTCCCAGGTAAAAGAGCGCACGTGGATTGCTAACAACACCTTATATACCCTCCTCTCTGTACACTGGCTACCAAATGTACATTGGGTGTAACCTGATTGGAGGTTTTAAATAAGGTTGCTGTTTACCCCCCCTTCTGAGATGTGATAAGCAAACAAAACAATAGCTAAGACTTTAAAGCAGACATATTCACAGTAACACAATTGAGGAACTGAGAGTCACATAGCATGCAGATAGATGCAGTCAAATATATATATTATCTAATATATTACACAAGCAAAACTTTATATGGCAACACTCAGTATACCGCGAGCTACAGCTTGCGGTATACTGAGACGCCGCAGCTGAAACGGATCCCAACAATTATGTCTGGATCCGCCCAGCTGCGTGAGTGACAGCTGGCTCTGCCTATCTAGAGGCCCCCGTCCGTTCCGCCAGTCAGCGCTAGAGGATCGAAGGGGGGAATCCAGTCCCTCCCCTGAGACGGCAGAAGTGAGCGAACGCCGGTATGTGTTCGCTCACTTCCCGATTCTACTGAGCCGACCTGTGACAGTTTCATTGTCACAGGTCGGCTAGAACTATGAGGATGAGTGAAAATCACTTACCTCATAGTTCTCCTTTAAGCAAGCAAATGCAGTATAAGTATTTTTATGACTGGTGTCCTTTAACCCCTTTGTAATCACAATACGTCTTTTTAAGTCTATACAAAAAAGTTCCCTCACCATTAGAATGTTAATTAATCTTGCAGCAGAGAACTTGGAGTGAGTTTGTAATTCCTGTCCACGATGTCAAACTGAAAAATTAGTCCTAGAGTTATTTACAAATCTGTGGTCATGGAAGGGCTCATCTGCATTCTGACCAGGGTCTGGCTTTTCCTCAGTGGGACCCAGCAGGTTACCAGTGATAACAGGCCCCTCTCTACCCTGAGCTCCTGGCACCTAGGGTAATTCCATTAATTGTCTTTCCCTCTATTGCCTGATAGGACCCAGCGCAGAAGCACACATAGTGTCTCTGCACATTAAAATTAAAACATGCAAGTTTCCTCCATTGTTTGTCCTAACACTTATTTTAAAAGCAAAATAATATGGTTACAAGACAAGCAGGCGAAAACGTTAGGCAAACAATGTTGCTAAAGCAGCACGGATCTCTGGGTAATTTAAGGCTAGCCATAGGCAGAACAACTTTGTGAGAAGCTTTGACAAGTGTTCTATGTCAAAACGATTGTAAATGAAGAAACAACAGGAATACATTTGCAATTATTTTGTGCAACTCTTATGATTTTCAACATAGATATCTTTTAGAGTGTAACAGCTCTGTGCTCTAAAGATTGTTTGTAGTGATAAAATTTATCTTAAAATTGTCTGTGAAGAAAGAACAAGGTAGAATAAAATTGTGATGAATATCTCCCCTTTTTTTCCGTCACTGATTGTTTTTGTACCTAAAGTGCTGCAGTTTTGTTAGTGTTTGGTGACTGTTCAAAGAATATTCATCGAATCCTCCTAAAACCTTCGGTAAATCTACCTGTTCTATTTCATCATCTTGAGCCCTGTGGGACCATTCATTTATTTTGTTGTTGTAATATTTACTTTATATAGTAAATTTATATGTGTGTATATGTATGTATGTATGTATGTATATGTATAATATATATATAATATGGCAAGGAAAAGTTGTTGAAAGATGCAATGACCGGGGTTGTGATTTTGCACACTGAGAATATTTAGTTGCCTTTGGTTTTGCACCTTTTGCAGAGAGGAACACGAAAATGGAGACAAAACGAAAGGGCAGCATGAACAGCAAGGACAAGACGTGCCTAGTTCAAGTGAGTTTAGTAAGTTTATCAATTAAGTTCAAAAGCCCAATATAATTCAGGATAAAATTCCATTGTCAGAATATGCAATAAAAGTCTCAGGGAAAGTGGGGAAAAATATGGTAATAGTTTCTGTTTTAGCTTGCAGCCCTTGCTGTCAAAGTGCATGGTCCACGTATTAGCTAAAGCTCCAACCATGTACAAAAAAAAGTCACACACATACATAAAAAATATACTTGCCTTCTTCCATTTGGCACCTAGGTGAGGATGACGTAATGGGCCTTCCAATAAGGTCCTAAGAACTAGGATCCCAAATCTCACAAGAAGAGGCTCCAGCACTTTGGAGTGCAGGGCTTGGCAGAGAAATGGCTAAAAGTGTGTGTCATGTGGCAGAAATATTATGGCTAGTACCATCAGACATTTGGTGGGGCTCCCTGTATTGTGTGTAATATGTTAATTTACATGTCCTTTAAATATTACTCTGTACCTTAAAATGCCCAGTCTTTGCGTTATGAAGGTTTTGGTATTTTGCATGCATCTTCCTTTAAAATAACTTTGCTTTCACGATTCCTGTGCCTTTTTTTTTTTTTTTACAGACAAGAACCCAGAAACTGACTGCACAGCTTTGCCCATGTCCGTTCCCCATGCCGGTGGTGATTGCATCCTGCAGCCTCATCAAGGGAATATTCACCATTCAGGTTCCACATCAACTTCCATTCACACCTCCGATAAACCAACTCAGGAGGAAACTTGGGCCCGTGATGCTCTCAGAAACTGTAAGAATCAAAGGGGGTCCTTGTCATATACGACATGAAGAGATACATATCTTAAAGTTTTCAGTATAAGTGCATAGTCGCCTGTATCATCAATGTTTGAGGAATTCTCAACATTCATTGCATATCAGTGTAGGCTGACTCAACAATGAATGAAAAAACAGTTTGAGCTGGTGTTGGGCTTTGTGCAGTTACTATGTACTAGTGATGTAGTACTCTTCACCAGTCACATTTTGATTACAGTTTACCATTCTTCTTCTTCTTCTTCTTCTTTTTTTTTTTTCTAGTGGAATTACTTAAGCAGTTATTATTGCAACATGTTAAGCTCCTTCAGAAAGAAGAGTCTGAAAACTTCCAGCGTTTCTGCAGTCGGAGTTCCCAGGAGCACACTGCAAACAGTGCCCATCAACCGAGGCCTGTGGGTCTTAACCACCAGCGGAAGAAAAGCAGAGAGAGCTGCACTAATAGACAATCCTCGTTAAAACAGAAATCTGAAGAATGCTCTGATCATGGTAGGCTAGACTCGGAGATGACTTATGAATCTGTGGAAGAGAGTATAGACCAGTACTTTGATGCTCAGGAGCTTCACAGCGAAGAGCACTCTAAGGAATGCAGTAAAGAGAAAGGCTTGGACGAGGGGCAATATCGGATATCAGGTTACAGTCTTTCTTATATGGGGTCAATGGGCATTACTGTTTGGTGTGGATAAGATCACTTACTTTATATCCTTAATGTAGGGAGGTACTTGTTCCTTGATGGTTACGAGAACATACAGGAAAGTTCCACGGATGAAGATTACATCTGTCCTGAGTCTTCAACCCAGTGCACATTTTCTGACCAGCAAGCAAAGAGCAGCTCGTCCTCTGCAGCAGAGAGGCTAAGTGCACCTATCACTGAGCTTGTTGATCCTAAACCACCTTCTGAGGCGTTCGATCAGATGTTACATTATATTTTTAAGATTGAGAATGGCTTACATCAGCTCAAGGTGAGCATTGAAACTGATTTATAGCGCTCAAGATGAACTGGAATACTGCTAGTATTCCACCTGCCAGATGTCAGGTGGAATGAAATGGACATATTGGGGCCATATCAGCTGATATGTTTAACCCTCTGTGATATTGACCAGAATAATTTGTTGCTGCCTCCAGCTTGCTTTAGAAAACGACAGTTACTTCTTTAGGTATCTTTAAAGTGAACCTATGTCCAGACTTTGCCCATTTTAAGTATTACCATATTCTGAACAAAGCGGTAAAAGCACATCAAAACAAACCCTTAGCCTGGATCTTGTGTTGGTGTAGTAGATTAATAATGTGGATTCGCTTTCTGATTACATTTGCTTAACCTCCAGGGACTAAACCTGCCTGGTCTCCATGAATGAGAGACTAAATATTAATCCTCGTCGCTAGGATTTTAAGAGGAGTTTGAAATCTACATGCTTATAGGAAAGATGAGGATGGGTGGGTGCCTAATTTAAGAGCATTGAAGAGTTGAGTGAGGCGTGGAGTGAGAAGGGAAGAGTATCTCTTATAGTAAAGTGCTTTGAACACATCAGACCTTTGTGCTTACGAAACCTGCAGAGATTGGGCAGCTTCTGAAATAGTGGGGTGGGTCAGTTGTTAGAGAAATTAGTCTGCTTTGTCCCGGGAAAAAGGAGGGGGGTATGTTGTTAATGGTGGTGAGAGAGTCCGTGAAGATGAAGACAGACTATTTTAGATGGGTCAAAAGTGTGTTTGACCGCCTTATTGCTAGTCATGTAAAGGGTTTTCCATTGGATTAAAGTCTGTTGGCCAACATGGGGCCGGCTTTATTGCCACAACCCTGGAGTCTTTTCAAGCATGCAATTTTCAAGTTATGTAACAACTTAATTAAAATATAGTTTTGTTTTTGGAAATACTTAGAGTAGTAATGCATTTCGTATCATGTCCTATTTTTTCCTCCAAAATGGAACAAGTTGGGGCATCTTCTTCAAAGAAGGTGAATAAGATCACCTGGTTCTTGCTTACCGTGATTCCAGCACAGGTTTTCCCTTAACACCTGCTTAGAAGGTTAGATAGAGGTTACATCATAATAACTAGGGATGCACTGATACCAATACTAGTATCGATATCGGTGCCGATACCGAGTATTTGGGCGAGTACTCGTCCAAATGCTCCGATGCCTAGCCCGATATTTCCTGCATCAGGAAGCCGGGCAGCATGTCTTTACACGCTGCCTGCTTTCCTGATTGGCCGGGAAGCGGCTCCATGCTCTCTCATCTCATGACGAGAGAGCATGGAGCCGGCCAATCGGAAAGCAGGGTGCCGCGTCATTTCATGGCGCCTGGCTTCCATGATTGGCCGGCTCTGGCTGGGTACCGGAGGAAGGCCGCTCCTGGTTGGAGAGGCTCCGGGGGTGACAGGCTGGACATGCCGAGGTGAGAGGGGACAGAGATCCGCAGCAAACAAGCCATAGAGCCGAGCACTGCAGAGACATGCAGGTACATATGATTATTATTATGGGCATTCGTATGGGACGGCTTTCTTGTTAATCGGGAAGCCGGGTGGCGAGTCTTTACACGCTGCCCGACTTCCCGGCTAATCAGGAAGCCAGGTGGCGAGTCATTACACGCCACCTGGCTTCCTGAATGGGACTTCCAGTACTCGGTAATTGGTATCGGCGAGTACTGAAAAAAAATTATCGGTACTTGTACTGGGTACCAAGATACCGGTATTGGTGCATCCCTAATAACAGTAGTCAATGATATTGGTCATGTTTGCTGTTGCATGGCACACCTGTCAAAATTGACAGAAATTTAGCACAATCTGCAAAAGCGGAGGATTTCAGTTGTGCATAATGTGAGAGTGTAGTATATACATGGGAATATCCCTTACCTTTTATTTTGTTCCTTAAGAAACAGTTTATTCACAGCACAGAATGTATAGAGGCAATTAATTTACGGGTAATGTTTTCATTTAGAATCAAACAGCCTCTGTGTGATGAGAATGTGTTAAACACCTTTTTTCTCAGCACTATTGTTCTTACATTTCATCATCTCATTCCTCACACGTCTGCTTTCTTGCAGTTATGAAGGTTTTGAGACAACATATTTATATGCTTTTGGCCACCGTACAGAATTTATTGAAGTGTAAGGATCTTTTCTTCCTAAACCTAATCTATTTACATTGTTCTGTTATCTGTTCCAGGGACTTGAAAATTATTATTATGCACTCCGAAATAAACTGTCTGCATCAGGCCTCTTGGAGGAAGATCCAGGTATGATATGACAGAAGTCAACTACACCTTTTTGTTTTCTTTTTTTTTTTTTATCTCCTACATCAAGGACAATGCATATTTTTCATAAACCGATTTCATAACATTGGTGGATCAAATCAATTTTTGGGTCGGCTTATTGAAGAAAGAAAATGTAATATCCAGGTCATAAAACATTTGGATTTCTGTAGTGTTCATTAACCCTGTGTCTAGAAACTGTGTGTGGTGTATTTGTGTACATATTAATTGGTATATACAGTATAGGCAGGAAAACAAGTAAAATGGTCCATCCTTCTACTAAGGACTTGAGGCTTTATTGGAATGGAGCTCTACTGCAGTGTTTGTGGATCTGGACGACTGGACTGTTTCTCAGTTACCAGTGCAGACTAGTTCATATGCTTTAAAGTTAAATTAACATCACAAATGTTCCCCCATGCTGCTTTAAGGCCTTGCCTTAAATGATGACCCTTGATCCAATCATCTTCCTTCCACTTGTATTCAGAAATCCCTTCAGCGCTGGTGCCAGTCTCTAATCCAGCACAGACTCCTCAGGTCCCCCTGTGTCTGTCCGACGTGGATGCTCCCGGCTGCGTGCATTTACCTCCACTGTGTCTCTCCTCTTCTCCCCGCCAAAGATCTCTACTGCGCATGCGCCTGCTCCCATCCTACTGCACGGCTGCTCGATAAGCTTCAGATCTTCAGGCCGGAGTGAACTGCGGAGACTCAGTTAAGTTTTTTTTTTACTTTTTTTAAAAATGTTTTTGCATATATCTACTACTTGCAGTAGATTTTATGCAAAAAAAGGAGAGTTTAAGTTTACTTTAAATGTGCATAGATGGGAAGCAGGCATCAAGGCACTGTAGTAGTCAGTACACTGCGTTGGTGGGGATGTACGCTTCTCACATAAGAAATATGTAAATAATTTGTTAATACTGCAATTCAATTCTTATCCTATATAACTCTCACTTGCATATCTAGCCCTTTAGCAAGCATGTTGGCTGCAATGGTGGTAGTTTTGTTAATGCTGGGAAGACAACTGGGCTAAAAGGGTGACCGGGCATGTAATAAAAGGAAGGTAGAATAGGCCAGAACTGTTAGTAAGACAGTGGAGTTCAGCACTGGCCTTCGTCTGTTGTAATATTTTTTTATGTTATGCATGAAAGTATCTCTGTCAAGTATTCACATTGAGTCTGAAACAAAATATTCTAATTTCCTCCAGAGGAATCTTTTCCTCTTTATCTTTTCCCTTGGGCCTTTCAATGTGTTAATTTTATTACCAAATGCTGAGTAATTCATAGTCCTATAACAATACTATAGTGTATATACGATACGCTTCATGATTCTCTTTTCCCTAATAGTTATTTGTTCTTATGTTTCCATTAAAGGACCACTATAGTGAAAAATATTGGATTTCAGTAACTGTATGGGGTTTATACCAGTAATTGTTTTTGTTTTATATGAATTCCATTATTTCAAGGCTCCATTCACACCTATATTTTAGGCGCGATTAGGGATTCCTGCATCAGGAACTTGTGATTTCTTGCAGCAGGAATCCCTAACCTGCCGTTTACAAGCGACAGCTGTTACCCATTTAATTTAATGATCAGGTTACATCCGCGGCATTTGAACAGCAGCACGCTGCATGCGATCATATGTGATCGGATTATACATGCGGTTAGGAATCAATCACTTTCCCTGCACACACGTTCGATACATCCAGGGATAGTGACTGATTCCTAACCACATATGATTACATGCGGTGTGCCGCCATTCAAATGCAGCGGCTGTAACCTGATCTTTAATTTGAATGGGTGACAGCTGCCACGTGTAAACGGCTGAAATCGCAAGTTCCTGATGCAAGAATCCCTACTCGCATCTAAAATATAGGTGTGAATGGAGCCTAAATGCCTTTGTTGAAATGTATGTTCCCATTTACATGCAGATGAAGCTGCCCAGCAAAAGTGACCATTGACACAATCCATATAACGCTGATGGAGGACTTAGAATGGTCAGGTTTTAGTCACGTGGTTTAAAGCATTATCCAGCAGAGCAGAACAACCAGCTGCTGTAACTGCTAAAAACATGTTGGCTGGAGTTAGGCTTTGTTTGGTAGTTACTTAAAGTCCTTCTAAAGCTGCTTGGCCATCTTAGACTACCCTGCCTACAGAGTGACAACAGGGTTGTGTGATTGTTGTGACTCTGCTGAAGATGAAAATCAACAGATCTACTAGCTGGTAAAACTTTGTTGCAGGGGAAGTAAAAAAAAATTATGATGGTGACAGAATGCATCATATATGTATTTTATTTAGCTTGCCCATTGTTACACTAATTGGCCACACACTAGTCGGAATGAAAGCAATGGCATACAATGTACTACCAGTGGCAGAGCATGAAAGCAATGGCTTATAATGTGCTACCAGTGACAGTGAATGAAAGCAGTGATATATAACCATCGGTGGCAGAGAATGAAAGCATTGGCATATAACAACTAGCAATGGCAGAGAATGAAAGCATTGGCATATAATGACTAGCAGTGACAGAGAATGAAAGCAATAGCCTATTGTATGCTAGTGACAGAGAATGAAAGCAATGCCACATAACTTACTACCAGCGGTAGAGAGGAGTTTTATTCTGATCCGGATATAAGCTCTTGTATTCCTTTGCCAAGTAAAATTAACACGTATTCTTTAGAATGCTTACTGGTCAGTTGTGTTTATAATGAAATACATTTTGTTGCATTAAGACAACTAATAGGCTTGTGTTGACCACATCTGTCCGTGGGTGGACAACTTCCCTTTAAGTTGCAGTATATATTTAGTTCTACAAAGGAGCTGACTCATACAATAATCTGAATGTAATGGGTGGGTACCTGCAGCTGCAAGAACATCGATAACTTTTTCTTCAGTATCTAGTTCTATATAAAGTACATTTATAACTAGTTTAACTTACATAGTTACATAGTATTTGAGGTTGAATAAAGACATTAGTCCATCAAGTCCAACCTATTAGGATCTCATTCTAGGAGTACCTGTACCCCTGTATATTACGGTCCCTTAAGAAATCGTCCAAAAGTTTCTTGAACAATTCCACATTATTTGCTGAAATCACCGCCTGTGGCAGTGAGTTCCAGACCCTAACTGATCTTACTGTGAAGAACCCCCTTCGCCCCTTGTGCTGGAATTTTTTTTCCACCAATTTTAGGTGGTGGCCTCTAGTTTTTGTAAAAAATCTTTATCCACTACCTTACCCGGGACTAGAACCTGCAACCTTAACAATGGCAAACCTGTCCCCTAACCTCTACGCTATTGCTTCTGTACAACTGAATTGCCTGTTTTCAAATAACCACTTTCCAGCCTCAGCTCCTACCCTTGTGCGCTGTGTTCCTCCTGGCACCCATAAAGAGATTGTTACTTTGCCCATTCAGGGCTGTCGACAGAGTCTCCCATGGTTCCCCACAATGTTTTTCACCAGTACTCATACACTGTATGATCTGTGTTGAATGGTGTGTGATGTCACACAGTTGATAACGTAATTGTCCTCGGGTTACCGTGTTTGTGCCACTGCATCCTGAGAGGGGATTTATACTCCCTGATACCTGAAAGCTTTTGGTATTTGTAACAGCTCAGATTATTGTATGAGTCGGCTCCTTTGTAGAACTAAATATTTGCTGCGACTTAACGGGAAGTTGTCCACCCACGGACAGATGTGGTCAACACAAGTGTGCGTATGATGTCACACAGAGTTGATAACATCATCGTCCTCGGGTTACCCTGTTTGGGCCACTGCATCCTTAGAGGTGGTTATACACCCTCATACCAGGAAGAATTGGGTATTTGTGACTGCTCCAATGGAGGAACACGGGAGCATTGGAAAGGAAGCTAGTAAGAGACTCTAGGCCTTAATCATAAATATAACACACCAGGATAAGGATTCTTGTTTTCATTTGAATGCACTGAGATTTAGAAATTGCATGCCTGAAAACGTATCCTTGTATTAAAGCTTTGTTCATTCACAAGCTGGCAGGGTCTCTTTAAGGCAAGAGTCACATGACTACTTTTCATGTCTGTAGTCCTACCTGAATATCTGGTATGATCAGAGCATTTCACATTTAAGATTTATGTAATGCAACAATCTTCAACTCAGTAAGGAATGTGCATTATGTGAATTTTAATTAGATTAAGAAAAACAAAATCCCTGACTTGAGAATCTATCATGTAACATTGCTCTTTAGGTGCAGCACAGTGGTAGTTTCTTTATGAGCGATAGTTGTATTTATAAATATGTGATATTATTTAACTATATCAACATACGTAAACCTATAGTACAGTTTTAATGTATTACACTAGCAGAGGATGAACCCTCATTAATTTCCTGTGTTTTTCTATTACTGGCACATTGTGGCTGATTTTATTCATGTTTTTTATCCATGTAGATAAAGAATTGTGAAGCCATTTGAAAGCTTGGTCTGTTAATGAATTTGTTTACCTCAGGGAGATTATCCTGCAGAGTAAAACGGCACCAATACTTCTCCACTTACAGAATTATATCTATGCGTGATTGTCATTATAGGCAGTAGCTAAAGCAAGCCACTATAAATTTAGCAAAGCAGACTGTCTATAAGAGGACAGAGGTACAGAGCAAACCATCCTTGTGCACTCCTCTGATCCTTTTTTCACTTCATTGCGAAGGTCTCAACATTCCATATTTAAAGCCTAAAACCCTCCCCTGGCGCTAAGCAATTATCCACCTGCTGCTCCCCTGTTCAGTGAGAGTGCCCTTGTTGTTCAGGCACAGAGATACATTGTAATATTCTTGTGCCTGAAATGTATCATAAACTTTGGGCCAGTCTATAGAGCTGTCAAAATGAATAGCATAGAGGTGACTGACTCTGCTGCCTCTCTGCTATCTTCAGCTGTCAAATACGGGATCGCTCTTTAGCGCTCCTGTATTTGTATGTAACGGCTTCATTCTTTCATTAATGAAAGAAAGAAGCTTTTACAAAAGCTTAACTATTTCATTAATGAATGCCTCAATACTGAGACATTAATGAATGACTGGTAACCGCTAAGTAACAGCGATTATCGGCATTACAGAGCCTTAAATAACTTGTCACGTACAGTGTACGTGGCCAGTCATAGAGGCACTTTGTGGCGGGACGTACACTGTACATCTCCCGTCACGAAGGGGTTAAAGTAACTCAAGTGGAAAAGAGCCCCTCAAAAATATGCACCATACCTAAATACTACCTTCTGAAAAGTAAAAAAAAAAAATATTAAAATATAACCTGCTGCACTTAATTTTCATTGTTGTATACTAATGGCCGTGAATGTTTTTGCATAGAGAGAGGACAGAGACTGCCATTATTCTCAATGGCCGTTTTTTGCCTTCATCCAAATAAATTCAGGCTAGTTAGAAAGTGATGTTTATTGCAGCAAGGCATTATATAATCATTGTTGGCTCTAGGATTGCAAGGGCATTCTTGCTAGCCTTTTAACATGAGCACATGCTCTACCTATGCAAGGCAAAGCAACAGTCCGGCCGTTTTTTTACTACGGCCGGCCCGGAGGTAGTTAAAGGCCCTCTTGACGTGACAAAAATAGATATGCAGTCTGATGGACATTGTGTTAACAACTTCCTTTTTAATAGTTTTACCTTCTGTTTAATATTACTGCAGTTGTGCAGTTTGTCTAAATATGACAATGCAGTAGTAGTAGTAGTCTGGAGTTAGACCCACTACTCAGTAAAAATAAAGGTCTTTGTGAGGAAGCTTGTGCTGAGGGGTGTGGCTGTTACTCAGCTCTGCCAGTACAGAGCACTGGAGTGAAGTGCCAAAAAACCGCAATTTAATAACAACAAAAACTATTTTAAGAATTTCCAATCTCAAATCTTTCACAGTTCTTAACATGTGGGGAGAACTATATAGGATTATAAAGTGATAAAATGGTGTGAGACTTCAGTTAGGTTTTATGGCCCTTCACCCCAGCAGCACATACTCACTTTTCCTTTGCTCCACTGCCAAAGGTCTCCCAGTTATCCTCTTAATTACTCCCTATTGTCCTAATCAAACTAAACCTTACTCCAAATTATCCTTTTATTCTGGTTTAAGTAATAATTTAGAAGCTATTCATACGGAAATCCAGAACAATTCTTATGGTTCACACTCTTTTACAGTGATATATGAGATTGTGTTGAAATGTGTGCACTATTTAATGTACCCATTTTTATGTTTTAAGCAGCATATATAATGTTACCCAATTACTAATGATGCCTTCTACTTCTGTTCACAGATATCGCAATGCTCCCTACAGACAAGGGTTGAACCTGAAGCCACCTGAGCTCTGGTCCATGAGATTCCAGCTGAATGGAGGGATCTGCCTGCAGCCCACTAACCATCTCACAAATACTTATATACCTTGGGCACACCCTGCAGATAAAGACAGCCAAGCCTCCCCTATCTCATGATCATCACACATACTAAACATACACATGTAGGTACACAGGGTACACATTATTTGGCTTATAAAACACAGCAGGAAAAAAAGAATATGTGACATATTAATGTAAAGCAAATTTGGATTACTTGCTGATAGTGTTATTTAGCTGCAAAGACAGAGGTGAGATTAAAGCATCCTGTTCTCGAGCTATTTCTGCCAAATTTGTACATAGGATGTGAAGAATAAATATTGCTGATCTTTTATGAACCTGACAAATGGCCAACATCATGCTGATAATGGTCTTGTGCATGTTTCCTCATCTACATGAGGAAATAGGCCGTAAATAAATGAAAGTCATGCGCCATATGGTGTTTAGATTCTTTGTGTCCAAAAACATTAATGCAGGTTGCCAAAAACACTACTGAGCGAGCAATGCGCACTTGAGGCAGACACCAGTAAAACAAATAATATTTAGGGCCAGTAATAATGTTCCTGTGTGTCTGCCTCTGTATTTGCACTGACAGTGCTGAGATCTTTATATATACAAACAAGCCCCCTCTCCCCTCTTTCTATTTCCTTGCATGTAAGGACCAGAGCTTCAGAACCTCAGCTTGCTGTGTTTTTTTCCAGCCACCTTACTGAGACTGCCAGACTGTTCCTCTGAAAGCTATCCTAAAACTTCCTGCATGACCAAAGTGTTGGAGATTGGGAAGCTCGCATCTCCTCGCTAGTGGAGGGTGCTCTGCGCTGGTCTTCACTACTAATCAGTATTCTGTGCCAATTACTGACAGATTTTTTTTTTGCTGCTCTAAACAAGACTTCCTTGCATAGACCACCGATCAACAATACGTTACACCATGTGGACTGTGTTTTATGTAGACAATCGTTTAACTCTGGTGCCAGCATGAACATGCAGCATGTTCAGACCGTAAATGCGAGCCTGCAATCACTCAATGGTCGTGTTTTTGTCCACATACCATTGCCTTTTTTATGCTAACTCTGTGGAAAGCTCTGTTCTTCACTCATTGGCATTGCTGGATCAGGAAGCAGTCTAGGGATGCGCCTTTGCACTTTTAGGACAGGTTAATCACAGCTCTTTTTAGGCTGTGTTCCCATTAAAGGGAGTTTTCTGCATCCTTTTCTGTATGTATTTGTATTTAAAAGAAAAAGAAAAAAAAAAAGAAAATTCTTCCAGATATATTCCTATGTACATGAGTTAACATTGGTTTAAGACAAGATTTGGGAGTATTATTTTCAAGTAAGGCCATATTAACATTCATACTCTGTGTTTTTAATGATTGTGGATGGGTGTGTAAACTATATAATTATCCAAATGTATGTCTATGACTTAGTTATTTTATGAATTATAGCTCCTAAATTTTATGATTCTGGATTGGAGTATTTCTTGGACATCTCACATTGAGGATGTGGGATGGGAGTATGGGACGTATGGTAATATTCTGATATTAAACAAGCTTACAGAATCATGACTGCAGCTTTTTCGTGTCTCTTATTTCCTGTCCGTGTCTGGGAATCAGGTCTGTACTCTGGGAAGAAAATATTTAAATTAGAAAGGTGTTTTTTTTTTTTTTAATTACTGAAAATATAATTTAATTTTTTTGCTTGCTCTTCTGAAGAAAGATGCAAACAACGTAGGTTAAAAAACACACTATAGCATTGTTTAAATAAATGTTTGTTTGAAACAAAACAATTTAATGTACAGAACAAACTGCTAAAAAGCATTATGTAAACAAAACCCAATATATTGAATGTTTTATATGCCAAGCTGAAAGTGCTCAAAGGGCAGTAATGTCTATTAACCACTTCAAGAACAGGTGTTTAGACCCCCTTCCTGGCCAGGCCATTTTTCAGTATTCAGCGTTGCGATACTTTGACTGACGTTTATTCCGTCATGCAACGCTGTACTGAAATGAATTTTATACCATTTTTTGGGGGGACAGATAGAGCTTTATTTTGGTGGTATTAAATCACCACTACGGGTTTTATTTTTTACTGGTAAAATATAAAAGTCGGGGTCACGTCGGTTAAATAGACACCAAACATGTCAAGCTTTAAAATTGCGCGCACCTGCAACATCGCAGAAAACTACCATACCCAAAATTGGCCATAGGCGGTTTAGTGTTATCAGTGATTGATGGCCCTAGACTTATTGCTCTCACTCCGACGTTCGCGGCGATATGTAACATGTGCGGCGTAATGGGCGCAATCGTCTTTTTTGCACGTGTGCGCCCCCGACGCATGTTTGTATGTATGGGTGGGGACTTTTAAATTTTTTTTATTTTTTTAAAATTCTTTTTTTATGTGTAACTTAAAACATTTTTGGGGGGACTAATTTTTTTTCCTTTTTTTTTTTCATTAAACTTTATTGCTATCACATACGGGGGCTAATAAAACCCCCCTATGTGATAGCAAAATATGTGACAGGTCCTCTTTATGGAGACATCAGGGGTCTCCAAGACCCCTAATGTCACCTAGGACCCCCCAAAAGAAGCTGATGAAGCACAGATCTGCTCCATCAGCTTCTTTGCAGCTTCTGAAGCTGGAGAGTGACACAAGAATGCGGAAGTGATGTATTATACGACACTTCCGCATTCTTTCAGAGGAGAGGGGACCGGAGGGAGCTCGTGTAACGATCTCCCTCTGATCCCCTGTGACACAGGCACCATGCTGATCCCGGGCTCGCACAACCTACAGCCTACAACCTATTTTATTTTATTTTTACTGTATGTGAAATCATCTCACTACAAAATTTCTTCTCAGTCTGTTAGCTATGTTTTTATGTATAGTTTGCAGTTATAATGTCCATTGGGGCAGCCATATACGTTCATTATAAAAGCAGGCCTTGCTTCCTGCTGATCCTCTTATCTCACAGAAAAGGTCTGCCTCAACAAAAAGAATTGACCCTTTCCGGTCACTAATGATGCAAGACCTCCACAATGTACTTTGTATCCACAAAGGAGCTTGGAGCAGATTTTCTTTCAACTCCCGCCCATGGGGAAAAAGGTAATTTGGTATTGCTGATATGTGCCCTATTAATGCCTATGAAGTGCAATGCTTAAGACTCTTGTCACTGTTGTGTCATGTAGTGATATAGGAGCTTATGGACAGGGCCACAGAGTGCAGGGGAGAACAAGGCATTTAACACAGTTGGAAGTGTGTTGGATGCTAAATATTCTTCATGTGGCTTAGCTTTTGAAGACGGTGAAGATCCAAGGCACTGCCTGCCAGAGAGGTAACTTTAATACAGTGAATGGTAAGTATAATACAGTGAATTCGCTGGGTTTGGCTTTTTTTTCTGCAGGGAGCGGCAATTAGTGTATCTAAATTTGACTTGGCATCAGCGTCATGCAATTTTCTGTACAGCAGAGCTTTGTCCAGGAAGGGAGATGCAACATTAAGACCTGTTCAGGTGTCCATCGCGCATGTGCTAACAAAGAACATGCTGGCAGAAGGAGAGAGATGACCCCATCAATCTGATAATACTGCTTCACTGTCCAGTCATAGGCTGAGAGAAGGGAGGTAACCAATGCCGTATTGTTTAATTGCAGTAGACCTAGTGAGGTCACCAACCTGGCTGTGTGAAGGGTTTATTTTAACCTTAGAACTTGATTGGCAGAAATAAAACGCTGGTAAAACCACTTTCATATATGTATTTAGCAGTGTCTGGAGTTCAGCTTTAAATGACACTTTCCCTTCCCTTCAGTGTTCCCTTTACACTGAAGTAACCAATCTCAGGTGGCCTTTATTACAAGAAAGGGTATTGTGCATGAACCTTTTTCTTCCATTTTTGATGCACGTTTAATCTTTTTCCTTCTTTCCAGACTAAAGTAGGCAGGGAAGTGTAGTACAGTGCAGTTTTTCTGAACATTGTTGTTTTTTTTTTTCTTCTGTTTAAAAACTAGAACATCCAGTTCTGTTCCTGCTGGGTTCCCTTTTTTTCATTGCGGTCAAAGGGAAACCAGTCTGAAAAGTAGAGTGTTATGGTCATCGCTGCATTCACTCCTTTTCTAGTTTTGTGCACAATAACGTAGAAAAAAAACAGAAAAGAAAACAAAGGATTCCATACAGAGTGCAAACGGCCTAAAACTGCAAACATTTAAAGCAGAGGTTTTAAAAGTTTTTCCAACAAGACCTTACCTCATTGTGACAGACAACAAGGCCTGGTCTATATGTTATTACAATTACTAAAGTTGAAGTTGGCTAATGCAACGGTTACATCTTGCATTACATTGTACTCCAAACAAGTCAAAACATAACTATAAGAAGTTGAAAAACATCAAAAGCTGGTGTCTCTTGTTTCTGCCTGTACTGATGTTTGAATGGGTAATCGGTGTATAGAAGGACTCCTTCCAGTGTGTGGAATCACCTTTCTTTAAAATGCAGAATTAAGCTCTGCTTATGAAGTACTCCCCTGCTAGGTCCTTGTAGAAGGAAAGGTGCTGTTGTGCTTGGCTCACGCTGCTACTTTAATTAACTTCAGTTTGTGGCCTCTAAACTTAAAATAATCTCTGCAGTGCTCCTAATGAACTACCTACATACTGATCTATAAAACTATTGCACCACAAAGCTCCACAAGCCCTATACAAATACGGAATAATCCACAATAATGTCAGTACTAATAACAATATCAAAGTCCTTAATTCATAGCCCGTAACACTACAGGGATCAGCCTGTCTTCCTTACATAAAAAGTTCAATAATATAAAGTTGCATAGTTAGGTTGAAAAAAGACACAAGTCCATCGAGTTCAATCTATAGTAATAGCATACTCTTTTTTCTTCACTTGTTCACAAATGTTCCTTAATCCCTGTACACATTTATGGTAATTTATCTTAGTTAGACAGCCACTCACCAATTCATTTATCTCCCCAATACATAAAGGTAAATGCTATTTCACTCCTCTGTTCTGTTGTCAGCTAGTAGGATTGGTCATTTTCTCCATGCCCAATTTCCTCTATCAGAGAGTTTGTGATCACCAATATTTATTTTTATACTTTGAACCTCCTCACGCACATGGTGACGAGATGCAAAATAAAAGGCTAATAGAGCAATTCCATTTATTTAAAATACATAAACTATACCTTTTTAGAAAGTCAATATTTTTGATGAAACGGATCAGGTGGAGGTTTATTTATCCAGGTTGGAGTCAATAGAGTGATATTTCATAGTACTGTTGAGCATTTGGTGCAAGGGTTATTAGTCAAGTCTTGCTAATTTGAAACCAGGCATGAATTGAGAAGCAGTGATTTAAATGACATTAAAATTGGGGAAGAATTATAACTGCAGTACATATCAAGTGAATTCTCTTTACAGGT